TCGGGAATCCATCGGGAATCCATCAGGAATCCCGGGAATCCATCGGGAATCCATCGGGAATCCCGGGAATCCATCGGGAATCCATCAGGAATCCATCAGGAATCCCGGGAATCCATCGGGAATCCATCAGGAATCCATCGGGAATCCATCGGGAATCCATCGGGAATCCACCGGGAATCGAGCGCTCCCCAGAATTCCCGGATTTTTCCCAGATTTTTTTTTCCCGGGTTTTTTTTTCCCAGATTTTTTTCCCAGATTTATTTCCCAGATTTTCCCCCGAACTCCCAAATTTTCCTCAGATTTTTCCCAGAATTCCCAGATTTTTCCCAGAATTCCCAGATTTTTTTTTCCCTGAACTCCGAATTTTTCCTCTGATTTTTCCCAGATTTTTTTCCCAGATTTTTTCCCAGATTTCCCCCAGAATTCCCAGGTTTTTCCCAGATCTTCCCTGAGTTCCCAAATTTTTCCCAGATTTCTCACAGATTTTTTTCCCCAATTTTCCCAGGTTTTTCCCAGATTTTCTTCCCAGATTATTTTCCCAGACTTTCCCAGAATTCCCAGATTTCCCCCCGATTTTCTAAGAATTCCCAGATTTTTCCCAGAACTCCACGATTTTTCCCAGATTTCCTGGTTTTTCCCCAGATTTCCCCAGAATTCCCAGATTTTCCCCCAAACTCCCAGATTTTTCCCAGATTTTTCTCAGAATTCCCAGGTTTCTTCCCCAATTTTCCCAGAATTCCCATTTTTTTCCCCCTCAAATCTCAAATTTTTCCCAGATTTATTTCCTGGATTTTTTTCCCAGATTTTCCCAGAATTCCCAAATTTTTCCCAGATTTCTCCCAGATTCTCCCAGATTTTTTTCCCCAATTTTCCCAGATTTTCCCAGAATTCCCAGATTTCCCCCAAACTCCCAGATTTTCCCCCCGATTTTCTAGGAATTCCCAGAACCCCATGACTTTTCCCAGAATTCCTGGATTTTCCCCAGATTTCCCCAGAATTCCCAGATTTTTTTCTCGGCATTTTTCCCCGGACATTTCCCCCCAGAATTCCCGTTTTTTCCCCCCAGAATTCCCATTTCCACCCCAGAATTCCCATTTTTCCCCTCCCAGAATTCCCATTTTTCCCCCCAGAATTCCCATTTCTCCCCCCGAATTCCCATTTTTCCCCCCCGAATTCCCTTTTTTCCCCACAGAATTCTCATTTTCCCCCCAGAATTCCCGTTTTCCCCTCCCAGAATTCCCATTTTTCCCTGGAATTCCCATTTCTCCCCCACAATTCCCATTTTTCCCCCCAGAATTCCCATTTTTCCCTCCAGAATTCCCATTTTCCCCTCCCACAATTCCCATTTTTCCCCTCCACAATTCCCATTTCCCCCCCAGAATTCCCATTTTTCCCCGAAATTCCCATTTTTCCCCTCCAGAATTCCCATTTCCCACCCAGAATTCCCTTTTTCCCCTCCAGAATTCCCGTTTTTCCTCAGAATTCCCATTTTCCCCTCCCGGAATTCCCATTTTCCCCCCAGAATTCCCATTTTTCCCCTCCCAGAATTCCCATTTTTCCCTCCCAGAATTCCCATTTTCCCATCCCCCAGTTCCCATTTTTCCCCCCAAAATTCCCATTTCTCCCCGCAGAATTCCCATTTTTCCCCCCAAAATTCCCATTTCTCCCCCCGAATTCCCATTTTTCGCTGGAATTCCCATTTATCCCCACGGAATTCCCATTTTCCCCTCCCGGAATTCCCGTTTTTCCTCGCGGAATTCCGGGAATTCCCGGCTCCCTCACCCATCTCTCCATGCCGTGGCTGAGGGCGGGCGCCAGCACCGGATCCTTCCCGGCCGTCACCAACAGCGCCGGGAGAGACGGCTGGGAACGGGAATAACGACACCGGGAATGACACCGGGAACGGCGGGAACAGCCGGAATGACACCGGGAATGACAACAGTGGGAATGGGAACGGGAATAACGACACCGGGAATGACGGCGGGAACGACGGGAACAGCCGGAATGACGACACCGGGAATGACAACAGTGGGAATGGGAATGGGAATAACGACACCAGGAATGACGGCGGGAACGACGGGAACACCGGGAATAGCAACAGCGGGAATAACACCGGGAATAACAGCGGGAATAACGGGAACAGTGGGAATAACAGCGGGAATAATGGGAACACCAGGAATAACGACACCGGGAACACCGGGAATAACACCGGGAATGAGAATGGGAATAACACCGGGAATAGCAACAGCGGGAATAACACCGGGAATAACAGCGGGAATAACAGTGGGAATGGGAATGGG